CCCCCCCCCCCAAGAATATATATATTTATATACAAATATAAAGTATACAGAGTACAGAGTTCAAATCTTTTCATCCATTTTCTGAATACTTCTTATTGTCCGGGGGGAATTGACCTAGAATCCTTGAATATGGCCCAATTCACAACCCGCGGAGTAACAGATCCGCGGATTAAATGTTGTGACCCATTTAAAGCTTGTCGCATAAACCCCGTTCTATGCGTCAAATCACCAGGGTGACAAACACAATACAAAGCTATAATAAACAAACGACAATTAATAACGATTGAGAAACGGTCAGTCTAAGGAATCATTCCCAGACACTATCAAACTATCTCGATCTAACTCCGAGGGATTTCGAGTTAAATTGCAATCAACTTGAGCGGCTTACATGTCTGTCACGCCCACTGAAGCTGCTAGGGGGTAATTAAGTATCGTAAGCAGCTTCAGTAGGCGTGCCCGACATCTAAGCCCCTTAAGCTGAGAGCAAGTTAATAAGAAGCCCCTCGGTAATAGCACGAGATAGTTTGTTCGATCTAGGTATGGGAACCCAGTCTAACTTTTCATTGTCAGTTGTAGACGCTTCGCTTAGCATCATACTTCATCAAAAAAAGGAGGCACTGTTATACATTATTCTTCCATAAAAACATGCAGCCATTGCAAAATTAACATGGAGGAAGACTGAATTGGACGCCGTGCGTTGCAGAATATGCCTGTATTATATGTGTATGTCCATGCCTGAAGAAAACAGGTATATAATTTACAATTGGAGTCTACTCCATGTATGAGCGCCCTTTTCGGTAGCATTCATCGATTATCACCTATCTTAACTACTAAAATATATTTATAATAAAGATTTCTTTGCTTTGCTTTCTCCTCATTGCATCGCATTTCTCTGAATAATTTAGTTGTAAGTCATCCATTACCTATAAACCATGTATATCCTTTTAAAATACACTAAAGTATAGTTTTAGGAAACATCACACGGCAAAGAATTAAATCGCACCCGCATTCCTATAATTATGTAGTTGCTCTGTAGCGGTGCTTACCTTACAACGCTGTCCATGTCGTGAAGGTGATGCATCGATTACTTAGACAATGTTGCATCTGACGAGACACTTATATAGCCCAAGCAGGCGTAACATATGATCATTACAAGGGCGGGAACTGCTTCGAAAGACCTGCCCAGAACCAGATGGTTGATGTAATATATGTGTTATGTAAAATGTTGCATGGCCAGATGGGAAATGTCGTCATTCGTTACTAAAATCTTAACAGTGTAGATGAGTGCAGATTAATGGCCATAGTTAGTTGGTCTTCCAAAATCCCATTTTCTATTCAGATATATCTGGTTGAAGATATCCAGTGACTTCATTAATATAGTAATTATTTTCATTTGACATAAAAGCACAGGGTGGTCCATAAAAAAGCGACCTATTTTACTTTCCATCGCAATGTTGTTATAAGATATTTCTTTTACCACATTGTTTATAAGGCTAATCAATGTCATTTCTCGGTGTAAACTATATAGGGCATGCGTTACTAAAATGTTAGGAACCCACTTCCCATTAGAAGGTGCATTACTAGACGTAGGACTTGCATTACTTGGGAGCCTTAGTCCTACGGACATTGGATCCTAGTAACGTATGTCCTAGGACTTCCATTCCTAGCAATGTATGCCCTAGGACTTGCATTCCCAGGACTTAGTGTCCGGGCGGACTTTCGTTACTAGGACGTGCACTCCTGCCACACCGGGCTCTGTAACTCGTCAGCATCGCAAATTGCAATAGCACGCAAACATGGCAATTTGTAGCTATGGCTTAAATCGAAGGCATTGCAATTTGCGACGTAGCGCTAATCGCAGTGTCACCACTTGCTGTACTTGCGATAAGTAAAGTCCGCCACAATTGTCTTTGCGTATGCATAATTCGTCGCGTAACAGTATCTTTAATGGCATTAAAGTTTTGGTTGCTAGTCATTTTAACATATATGAAATCATGGAAGCTTATAAAAGATTGAGTCACTCGGTACCTCTGATAGAAAAAAAACTTGCGGTAAATTTTCACGTGATGAATGATGTGTATTACAGAATATTACTTCATCAAACACAAAAATATCTATGAATATTTTATAAAATCACCTTTTATAATGCATGAAAATTGATGAATGAAACATTTCATATATTATTTGATATTTTCTGATGAAAATGCATCTGTGTAGTCTATTGATAATCAATCACAACTTTACTTTCTACACAAAATGAAAATGCAGAAAGGAAGCAATCAGTCACGTACATCTTGACCTTCCAGTATGTGTTATTATGTGACACTATAGTATTCACGTGTGTAGTAGTACCAAGTAATGGTATCAATCCATAATAACACCACTGAGAATAAAATTGGAGTCATTTGACTCTCTAGTCAGAGTCCAGCACTCCTTGACCCTGATGGAGTTAACTTGACTCCTATGTAAGGGTCAAATAACCCACTAGCAGAGCTTTAGACACTCTTATCAGAGTCAATCACCCCTGGCTCTCATTGAGTCAATCTGCATCTAAAATCAGAGTCAAATCATCGGGGGCCAGTGTCTGGCTGACCCCTTTCACCGACTCTTTTCGCTCGTTGGACAGTAAGCTTCGTTTCATTACCTGTGATGGCAGTGAGCAAACGGCGTGGAGAGAACAGTTTTCATCATCCTTTGTCAGTATGAACATTACTTTATTGGGCATAGTTGGTTTTATGCATGAACACAGCGCCGTAGCCTGAGCAAAATGCCAGGGGGGCAGTAAGCGGACACAAGGGGGCGTAGGCCGTGGGAGGGGCTATCCCCCTCCCTCGGTGTGGAAAATTAAAAAAAACTGTTTGTATAATACTGCATTCTGGTGCATTTTAACTGTTGTTTATTGCTCAATCATAAGTAAGAAATTGTGGGTTCATTTTGCCATAAGTACAGTCATTTTTTCAACACAACACGCCAATTGGACTTCATTTCGTAGATTGTCTCAGGATCAGGAATAATGTTTCTTCCTCTGTGGACAAGCAAGAGAGCCAATCCGCTAAGGCGTTCCTCTGCCTTTGTAAACAGATTGTTGAATGATTGTCTAGTGCCCATGAGTGCATTTTCTCACAGAATTGATACCAACTTTGCAATTATTTTTTTAACCTTTGCGATTATTTTTTGGACCTCAAATCCCGGGGGGGGGGGGGGGCAGCTGCCCCCCCCCCCCCCTGCCCCACCGGAGGCTACGGCCCTGGAACAAGTGGTTTTCTGTGTGTATCTGCATGCAGAACTCGTGCGCTTATTACTGGCCCGGGCTTTCAGTTGCCACACCCTTCATGTGATATGTTGGTATACAGGTCAGCAGGTTTTGTTTCTAAGTTGTAGGTTTGGGCCACCAATGCGAATCAGTGGAGAGGTAAGCTCACTCATTGGTATATTTGTGGTATATTATGTATATATAAAATGCAGTTTATTTCCAGATTTACAAACTGTTTGTTATTGCTCTCTCCACACAACACGTGGCCGCATGGTCTAGTGGTTAGAGTGTGCGCCCTTGGAGCGGGAGGACATGGGTTCGAGCCCGTCAGGGGAATCAACATTCTGAAATGAACGATACTTTCTGCCTTTCCCCTTGTTACTGTTGTAGTTATTTTGTTCATGATGTGCCACGGAGTCAAACATTCCTTAAATTGGGGTCATGGTGACTCTTTTGTAGAGATAATTCAAGGAATGAAGGGATGTGTAAATGGAGTCAATTGTGACCCTTGTGTGGGGTCTGGAATGGCAGCTAGTACTCCATTGGAGTCAACTTGACTCCAATTGGGAGTTATTTTAGGCACCTCTGCTGTACTCCAAGTTTGGAGTCACTTGGACTCCGATTTTATTCTCAGTGACGTGCGTCTCGCTTATTGGATTGTTTTTGGTATTTTTTTATTGGTGTCAGCACTTCAAATATCCGTACAACTAACAAGATGATTTTTTATAAATATTTCGAAAATATACTCGGCGGTGATTGCAGTAATATTAGAAATCAACACGAAAAGATTTATCTGTTTCTGCATGTATGACCACAAAAGTCTTCATCGTCGCAAGGGTCCCCCTGGAATTGGATTGATCTACAAATAACGACATTTTCATTGCGAATGAACCATGAGACTTCTTTGAGCTTAGTGGCACAGAAAAAGAAAGCGATTTATTTCTAGCTGTCTCCTGATTCATGTATACAAACTTGAATTTTATTGTGGAATACTTTGATTTCAAAGGTATGCCTACATGTAGGTAAAAATGGAGAAGTGTGTTGTCAGGTACGTGTGTCGCTACCAATTAACAGACTACCATGTCTGCTGCTTTGCTGAATTGTGCAATATGAAGTGATTGAATCGGATCTAGTGCTCCTTTGGGTTGGCCAAAGCTTGGCCTTAGTGAAGCAAAAGTTCTGTCCAAAACGTATCCCTATTTTGGCAACTAATGCATAAAAGATCGGTTTCGCAGTGCTTAAAATGAATAAAGCAGTTTTTTTACAAAATTGTTAGTCTGTGTCATACACTGTAAAAACAGTGTTTAGCACTTACATGGTAAAAACATTTCTAAGCGCCTGTTTTGTCTCATTTTTTCGACGCGTTTAGCTCCTAAGCACATTAAGCTTCTTAACATGTTACACGCTTTGACACGTTTGATGCCTAATAAATGTAGGGTGTGTTTGCTTCTTTACTTTCAGGTGGTAAGGGTTTCAACTACTTTAGTCACACACGCGCGATCACACACACACACACACACACACACACACACACGAAGTCACGGTCACCTTTAACCACTACAGCTATCTTTATCTATAACAGGGTACTGTGAACTGTCAACATCGTTGTTCAAACCGTCAGTTTATCACGGGACTTATTTATCCTTGTGTTAGC